GTTTTTATTTAACACAAAATAGAACTGGTGTATAATCAAACTGGTGTTACTGTTTCACAAGGTAAGTAAAACCACTCTTAGGTCCCTTTGTCTCGTTTATGGGAAAACAATCACCCACACTATGCAACCCTTTATTGCGCTGCAAATATAAATGCCCAAAATGGAAAAAGAACACAACGCCACTGTTTTACAATGAAATCGTTAACCTCAGTGAAACAAATCATGCATAGCCCTCGCACGCACTTCCTAACCTGTGGTTATTACTAGTTATATTACCGGAATCTGATGTGAGGTCGGTTTGCCTAGTGTTAGGAAATCAGCTAGTCTGGCACAATCATCTTAATTTGACCTTGTTTCGGCATTTCCTGTTGAACAGGAAATGCCGTAACAACTGTATATATCTTTATGTGATAATTGTGAAATATGTGCTGACATGCAGATGAAATACAAATAAAAAGATTATCCTCACAGGTGAGTGGCACTTAAAGCAACTGCGCAAAAGAAGTTCGACTCGAACTTGTGCCTTCCAGATACTAGTTAAATCCTATTACTAGCTAAAAGAGGAAGCGAGATGTCGGGAGTGCTCCCAATACCTGGCTTCGAGAAAAAAATCATAGAGTAGTCATCATATAATTGGTCCGGGCCCCAAAAGTGATGAATATTATTTCGTCAGTTGCACCAATAATTTTCTATATCGTATGGCAAAATATTTCTTCTGATACAGTATTTTACTGAAATACGCATGACACTTACAAATCTTATTTGTTATCATGCAATTATGGACTACAAACTCTTGCATGTGGACGACAAGCGCTGGCCGTGTTTTCACGAGCATTTCTTCAAAAGGCTTAGCGAATGGCTAACGCTAGATCAAAAATTTCGTAAGAAGAATTGTTTTACTAACTCTCATAAGGTCAAAAAGCTAAGTCACGTTGTGAGTTTGTGCACTGAGTTCTTCCAGTTCGACACTTGTGGATGTCAAACCTCTCTTGTTCCCTATCAGGAAAAGGCGCAATTTTGTAACCATCTTTGTCTTGTAATTTTTCCCCATATGTTACGTTGCTTTCGATTCCTTTGCATTTTCTTTCCTTCTTAATACGTGTCTGATAATGTGTTTTTTAGCATGAGCAATTACAATCTTATAGTCTGAAGTAAAAATGTTGAAAAAAGTTACGGTTTTTTGGCGTTAATTCAAAGGCAAGGTGTAATGAAATTCGGGTTTGTTTTCCTAGGTGTCACAAGATGCAAAATAGTTATATTAAATAAAAATTTCCGGAAATTCCACCTAAATATCGAATAGAACAAAAAGTTTCTGGAATCTCGCTTTAAAAATTCTTGACAAGCTCTCGAGGTCGTCCATTTTCGCGGAAATTTGGACCAATGAATGCTAACCTGACGTTTCATAGGTGCTGTGGTAGTATCATAGTACTATCATAGTAGCATCAAAAGCGAAAGGAGAGCTAGGTTCGTTTATCATAGAAAGTAAATGCAACATAATCACAGGAACGAGATGTTTTCGGCCTGTTTTCTGCCTGTTACAAAATACTGTTCCATTGGACACACGAAATGTTTAAGAAATTCCAAACGGGAATCTTCGGTCGAATGGAACGTGCACAGAATATCAAAAATGTCAAAGAGGATCAACAGTTCATAAGTATTAGTAATGATAAACATGTAAAAGTTGCCTAATAGTAACTTTCAATGCGTTTCAGTGGCCAAAATTTTATTGTGGACATCTTTCTAGAAGCATTTTCCAATTAATTTTGCTTCAAAAGTTGGCTTTAGTTTGAATTGATAATTATTTAATTTCATAATAATAATCGGTTTTGCCCGACGCCGAAATGTCGGTGTCTATTACGTTATGATTACTGGCTGTTTCTCTCTTCCGTTGTTTACAAACAAAAAGGACAAAAAGTCTTCTGCTTCAGTCCATGTGACCTCTAAACTTTCAATGGTTAAAACAAAATTTTCTGGTATTTTACTCAAGTCCATTGCAGATATGAAACGACGGTCAACGTAACAGCTGACCAACATGGCGTGTCACAGTATTGTACACATAAATTGGTTTTCTTCAATCTAAAATAGAAATATTAAAAATATCGTTTGTATTGTAGCCAAACGTGTAAAAAAGTGTACCGAAATTATTTGACCATTTTCCCTTCGATCCAAATTAGTTTCCAGGGAAGTAAAAAAATATTGAACTAAACAAAAATGTTTGTAAGAGATATTAGGTGAACGAAAAAGGAGGAGTCGCTTGTTCTCTCGTCACGCTTGGGGTTGATAATCCACTTGAGTTCTCGGGAAAAAAACCGTTATTGAGTTAGAAACATCGCCAAACTAGGTAAAAATAGTTCAGCATGTGAAATAACTTGAACTGTGTCTGTTCAAACAAAACGTCAGTTACCCCCGCTAACGTTTAATTCTCACGAACTCGCACGTCCTCAAACAAAGGTCGGCCCTTAAAAAATTGTTGCTATCCAGTTAAGTATAAAATCCTTCCAAAAACACATAAGTTTCCCTTGCTTACGTTTAAGAGTGGAAAATTTTACGGTAAAATCCTGAGGTATGTATTTTTTGTAATTTTAACTGCGTTTGGAAACTTTCTAAACATGACCTTCAAGGATTCGCCGAAAGGGTAATTAATTTTACGGGTCACTCGTTTACTCTCCAAAAAAATTAATGTAATTAGTGTTGTCTCCGACTATAACTGAGGTACTTGACTCCCACAACTAACGGGTCACTCCTGGAAATCACTCTCGAAAACAAATTAATGTAATTAGGGTTGTCTCTGACGATAACTGAGGTTCTTGATTCCCACGACTTGGAGAGGCATTGATGCATATAACAGGTGCGCACGCAACTCTATCAAGCTTCTTATAACTCAGTAGAAATTTGAATCCAATCAGTTTTAGCAAAACCTCGCCATCGTCAATATTTTGGCAGCGTTTCTGAGTGCTACTGCATGCAACACCAAAATAATTACAATGAAAGGTATTAAACAAGGAACAGGTATGTGAAATCTGGCTCTTTGATGAAGAATTCGCATCTTAAGGAGACTTTCGTCGAACACTTATCAGTGCGTAGATGCAATGCTTACTTTTTAAAATATGAGATTGTTTGCACGTCTATTTCATTTAAACTTAATTCCTAACCTACTGAGTTTGTATGCGACTAATCTTGCAAATAGGAAGAACTTTCGAGAAGTCTACTCTGTATTATTAACGAAAGAAACAGAGGTCGAACTCCAAACGTTTTGGAATGTCTTTCAATGGTGGCTTTGAATAGAGGATAGTCAGATTGTCTGACAAAGTCGAACAGTCGAACTTTTGCGCTCGTGGTGGCCTATACGGTCCCACAATTTTGGTTTTCCGAGCTCAACACAATTCTATTTTCCATCTCGATCGTTCATTCGTTTTATCGAAAAGATCCTTTTGGAGTCAGCAATTTCAGTTTTAAATTTGCTTTACCTTTAAAATGGCTATTCAATGTCTAGTCAAAGACTTGATGGAAAACTATGGTCAGTTTTTGAACATGACTTCCCAATGTAACAAATATCATGTGAATATTTGGTTGATTCGTCGAATTTCGTCCGGCCTAAGATTTAAGTCCTTTCCAGCTAGCTGGCTCAAAGTTTTGGCGACAGTTTTTCTCAACAAACTTGAATTTTGATCTAGCTCAAAAGATAAAACAGAAACGTAAAACTGCCACGTTGATAAATGCGGTCATACATCTTGAAATTTTTATGTATGTGGGGCGTATGAATGGTATTTTCCCTGGGCGCAGGGAAACAGGAGAGATTCCGTTTTTCATCAATTTACAAAATCTAGTTGATGCCGATCCCCGTTTAAAGGAAATTGGCGAAAGATTTCTGCCCTTCAGTTAGGCCAAGCAAGTGTTCCGAATCATTAAAGTTTCCCCGCATTGATCGTTCAAACACACGTGATGGGATCTGTTCATTACCGGGTATGAAGGGGCAATCCATGCATGTGACCCAACTGAGGCCACACAATTGTTTAATTAGCACATACATTATTACTGAGTTTGAGAGGTATTATTCCTCGCGGCTTCGAATGTTTCTTAGATTCTAAATAACTGCATTTTGTACTTATTTGGAGGTCAGAGGTAGAATTGACTTCTGGTCGTTTGCATTTGAAAAATTTGAGTACAACAAATTTAACGAGCTCACAAAGCAATACCGGGAAGCGGAAATTTAATGAAGTAGTTATTCGCGCTTGATGGATGTGAGATGGTAGATAGGCACCATGCGAAAAATTTGAGTACAACAAATTTAATGAGCTCACAAAGCAATACTGAGAAGCGGAGAATTTAATGAAGTAGTTATTTGCGCTTGATGGATGCGAGATGGTCAATAGGCACCATGCGTTAATTGAATAATTGGTAATTGTTATAGTCTCGAAGTTTGCCTTGCTCTACACACGATTGTCATTGGCTGATAGTAAACATATGACCCTGCATAAATTTTAATCCCGATCGGGATACATTTATTGAATATGATCACTGTTTAGGTTTTGCACGTGATCAGAGCGCGGCTGAGGTGGGTGGTGTATTTGTGGTGTGATATTTCTAAATGCTCTTATCTGGAACTTCCTGTCTATTTTAAAAAAAATAATGACATGTAACTTTCTCTTTGATTATTCTTGAAAATGTTATGGACAAGTCTGTGGCCAAAAAAGAAGCTTTTGTTTACTTCATCAAAAGACCTGAAGACGGAATCGAAAACTGGCGGAGCAGAAGGCCTCCAAAAATACGGTTCTTTTAAGGAACACCTGGAGTGTTTGCAAGAAAAACAAGTTATAGTGTTATAAACGCACAACTTTTGGCCTTTTACTTTGTGCAATTTCGCAATCAAAAGCACCTATTGATTGTTAAGTTCCGTCGGTTGTTCAATTCATTCTGTAACGTGCGTGGCACTGATCATAAAATATCAAAGCTGGAATGACTTCACACCGCACTATGACCTCTTCTCTTTAGGTTCAGCTCTGCTGCTCTTGGTACTTTTTGTAAATTTTCAGTTTATACCATCAACAAGTGCAGCCCCAATTGATTGCCAGAAGAACACTGCTGTCTGCTTCGAAGAAATCATGAAGGAACTGACCCAACTTCGATTTGAGGTTAAAATTCTCACCGAGAACAGAGCATTGGTGCGATGTATGTGTACTTTTTTTTAATTGTACTGGTTATTCCATTTTATCTTTATCATTATACAGTGTATCACGAAAAAGGTAGTCTTATGCAGGGCGATTTCCATTTATTTTCAGAGCAATAATTTTTTGCGAATCGAGATGACAAAATTTTCAGCATGCTTGGAGCTCTTATCTTTAGCAACTCTTTGTTCAAGCTGCTGTGTAGCTGAACATTGACAACAGAATAATTTAAATATTTTAAACTTTTTTCGAATCTTTGGTCATTTGTCAAGTTTTTTCAAAATAATTTTTATTCTCATCTTATGATTTCATGCGCTTTTAAAAGATAAAAGATATATGAAGAATCCAAGTCCGTAGTCTTCTCTCCAAGACAGATACTTCTTCGGATGATCTAAGCACATTCATACCAAACCCCCTCTTTGAGAGCATGCCCAAAACGTCAAGCATCTTTATTTTATCTACAACAGCTAGGAACTGTGCTGAGCTGTACAAATCCGGACGAAGGATCAGTGGTGTTTACACTATCGACCCAGATGGTTTAGGCGCCTTTAATGTATATTGTGACCAAACTACAGCCAACGGGGGATGGACGGTGATCCAGAAGAGAATGGATGGCTCCGTTGATTTTAACCGCACCTGGAACGAATACAAACATGGCTTCGGTAACTTGGTCGGTGAGTTTTGGCTCGGACTGGACAAGATAAACCGCCTGACTCGAAACAAGACAAAGAACAAGCTTCGGGTAGATCTGGGGGTAACTAATGGCAAAACTGTTCACCCTGAGTATGACTGGTTTGGGATTGGGAACGAGACAGCTAAGTATCGGCTATACATTGGCAATATTACAAGTAAGTTAACGGTGTTTTTTTTTTCGGCATTTATCATTCGATTTATATATATTAATTCACTCTCATTTAAATCTCAATATTTTACTCTACTTGGTCGAATAATGGTATTATAAGTTGGCAAGGTAGTCCTGAGGTAAACCTGAATGTCTGATTGTTTCTTACTCGATCTGGAGTTAGGTCTTTGTGCCACGTAAGGAACTCACTTCTTACTAACCTTCATTTTTTCCTTTATTTCCTTTTATGCGGAAAACAACAAATTATCCGCGGGAAAAAGGCGTTATACGGATTCTAGAATTGTGCGAATTTCTTTTGTTCTGTTTTGAAACAGATGCCACCGTTCCCTTTGATTCCCTCGGTCCCCACAGGAATCTCGTTTTTGGTACCTGGGATAGAGATCCTGTTGATTGTGCTCAAAGAGGTGGCAGAGGCTGGTGGTATGGCAGCGGTATTAAATGTGCTGTTTCGTCAAATCTCAATGGTATTTATCCGCGTTGTGGAAGGAAAACTTCTCCAAAGATTCACTGGGCAAAGTTAAATCGAACCAGTGCCGAAGGCAACGCTCCTTCATCAACTGAAATGAAAATTAGACCGGTGGACTTTTAAAAACTTTCTTAGAGATAAGTACACAGCTCATAAGTAGATAGTGATTTTTTAGTGTGCTCTGATAATATCCACCTCTTAGCAGCTAAGGCGACGAAATAGCGCGTCAAAGTTTAATTTAGGTTATGAATTGGTATATTGTCAGAAACAAACAATGTTTTTGGTTTCTTTGTAGTAAAAATTCCAACATTGGCTTTTGGTAAATACGCCCCATTGCAAACATGCCCCCCTACCTTCTTCACGGGTTCGTCAGAAAACGTAAAACAAGTTCGCCTGCGTATTTACCAGTTCTACCCCAAATCTTTCGACTCGTTTCCTGCCACAGATTGTGTTAAAGTTTTGTCAAAATCAAAATATTTTGGCGACTAACATGCAACATGTCCCTTGAATATCTACAACCTCGATTTATATCTCGAAATGTTATTACTTCGTATTGACTAAAGAATCCTGCGTACAAGTTGGCTATTCCAGCTATTTGAAGAGGAGTTTTTCCTTTAGGGGTGCCATGCTGTGGAACAGACTTTCGCAAGAACTCTGCTCAACAGTTTCTTTAAGCGAATTAAAAACTACGTCATTATAGCTTTTAAATGAGACATAGTATCTTAGAAAAACAGCTTTCATGATATAATGGGTTTTTAAACTTTTAATGCTGTATTAATCATTAGTAAGTAAGCAGAATTTTTATATTTTATACTCCTAGATTGTGTTGAAGAATTTTACCGTGTAGAAATAAAGTTGTCTATCAATCTTTCTATCTATCTGACAAGCGCTGCCCTTTCACGTGTTAACGTGGAAAGTTATCGAGATAAACAACAACATTGAAGTGGATTCATTTTCCATTTTTTTCGAGTAAATTTGCAAATCAGCGTCCGAGTGCAAATTTTTACTTTGCTTTACTTATATAGGAAAAGATTATGAGCGATTTTTGAGTAAGAAGAGGACGATGTTCGATTCCGAAGCTAGATTTCAACGTACACGCGGTTTCTTCTTGCATTTGTGAAAGAATCGCTGCCAGAAACAACTAACTTTAATTTAACTGCTTCGCAGCATGCGCACCGTTCGCAAAGAGACCGAAAGTTGAAGGCAGACAATCCTCTTGGCCCAAGTCCTGGTCTTCTAAGAGAGCGTTAACGGGCGGCACAATAAATATAGCGACCAGTTTATTCCAGTGAAGCGAGGCGATCGATCACTGGCGCTGCTTGATATATTAAAGATTTTCCATAGCCATTTGATAACGAAACGGAGACACCTTTACCTTCGAAAACATATCTCCCTTAGTGTCATCAATTGCAAAATGCTTCCATTCGATAGAAAAAATTTCCGGAAATTCCTGTAGAAAATCGAATGGACAAGAAAGTTTCCGGACGGCAGAAAGCTATTTTGGATACAATGTACGCCATGAAGGGATTACTGGACCCTTGACCAACCTTTTATGTTAATGATAATCTTTGATAAAATACCAGGACCCCTTTGTTCAAAGGGCAGATAATGCTATCCAACGGATAAATCGTTATTAAGCGCTTAAGTGTTAACAAAACGTACTGTGTTATCCACCGGATACAGATTTATCCAGTGGATAGCGTTAATCACCCTTCGAACAACCGGAGCCAGAAACTCTGTCTTTGGCCATTAAAAGTTCACATTGATGGAAACAGATGATTTGTTTTTATGTTTTGTACGTGCGTGTGTTTTTAACGGAAGTGAAAACAGCCTCAAATCGGCAATACTTTTGAAAGCAATTCATGTGATTTTTTCCACTATCCAAAGTATGATGATTGCATTTGACCAATCATCAGCTATCAATTAACATGTCGAAACCACCGGATATGGTACGCTGACATTTTGACGTTGGGCAAAACCGATTATCGCCGTAAAAATTAAAGAAACGTTATGTATTGAAAACCAAAGCCAGCTTTTGAAACCAAAGGGTAACAGTGGGAAGCTGGAGCTCAACTTTTTAACGATAAATAGTATATACTGAAACAGCGGATTACGTCTAAGACGCGGTCTGATTGGCTACACAAATTCCGAATATGCTTTGCTGTTTACCTCCGAGCAATGCGCGCAGGATTTTCGCCCGAAAATGTAATAGTTGTTTTAAGATTAAATGAGTCAAAATCATACTTAAGCGCGTATATCATTTCACTATTTTAGTTTATAATAAATCAATTTTTTACCTCGCTACAGCAGCTCGCTACAACTGTAAATAGGGACCTTTCGTAAACCACGACGGCGACGGCAATGAGGACGAGGTAAACAAAAGATTTAATGAGCAGAACAATAACTCAGTGCCTACGTTTGAAGACCGTGTGTATTGCTTAGCCGTCCTCGGTAAAATAGGGACCTTAAGCAAACCACGACGGCGACAGCAACGAGGACATGGAAAAACAAAAGATCTAATCGGCAGAGCAATAGCTCAGCACGTGCTTTTAAAAACTTTGTACATTTCTTAGCCGTCCTATGCAAAACAACAACATGAAATCACCACAATTTGCTTCGTCTGCAAACCGAAACCGCTACGGCAAATTATTTTAATTTCCATTTGAAACTCAAAGCTTCTTTTACACGTTATGCTGAAGTTGAGGTGTGGCGCCGTATGAGACGGTAACAAAATGCAGCCATTTTCGAAATTCTAATTAAAGGCAGAAATGAATTTTTTGATCAAAGTCTTCATTGGCGTAACATTACTTCCTTACTAACATTGTTTCTAAAGATAAAAATGGATTAAAATTTACTTGGAAATTAAGTCTTTGTTTAATTGAGTGGTTTCGCTTTAAATAACGTTTCGATGTAAGAGAAAGATAATAAATCAAGGGGTGACCATAACTGCTCAATACAGGACCACTCTACGGAGCACTGTATGTTCATTGTGCTAGGTATCACTGCAATTCGCGAGGAATTCGTGGTGGTGTTATCTGCATTGAAAACTGCTTGATAAGGACGGAATCAGAATATTGTGATAGCATGCCTAATATTTCTTGACTCAGCGATATTGCATGGTATACCTCTGTAGCAGTATCCCATCAGAAGGTATATATCATTAATAATCATAATATTTCGAATAATCTGCTCGGAAATCTGCCACGTTCCCTGAGGCCACAATGTGATATTCAATGTGAATAATAAACCTTCTATTTTTTTGGGTCAACAATACTGTATACTGAAAGGTATAAAACTCAGTAGGTTGTCGCAATATCGTATCAGATGGTACACATCAATCAATAGTCATTATATTTCATATAATACGCGCAGAAATCCAGCACGTTCATCGAGGTAACAAATGTGATATTCAGTGGCTCCGTTAGGTTTATTAGTTTAACGAATTAGCACCATCTTATCTTGTTTCGTCATATTTCTGAAAAAAAAAAAAAAAAAGAAAAAACCAAGCCAGAGTTTCAACTCGGGCGTTTTCTTTAGAAAGCCCGAGTAATAGCAGAATACCAAATATTGCGGTTCATTTCAATCTTCTTCATCCCATACCAGCCTCTTTACATATCTGTTTCACATGAACCTTTTTTTTTTCTAATTTTCACTTTGCCAAAATTTTTTTGTTTCTGTTTTTTTTTTCTTTTTTTTATCCATCAAAATTATGAAGAGATTAATGATAACTTTGCCGTTTCCGAATATTTAAAAAAGCTTCATCGGCAAAAATCAAAATAAGAAATCAGTGTAGGCTTGGAAATCCTCGACAATAGGAGAAGCTCTGCTGGGCTTACCATGGCAACCTTTACGTTAACCAATCAGTCACAGTGACTGAATTTTGTCTTACACCCAAACTATCCGGCCATAGTTTGGGTATAAGACAAAATTCAATCACTGTGACTGATTGGTTAACGTATCATTTTATGGTGTAAAAGTATCATGTGCTAGAGTCCGTAATTACTCGATCATTTTATGGTTGATCTGACAAACATGTAAAGGTGTAATTTGGACACCGATCGATCAAACCCAGCCGTCTCCATTGGCTTTTCTTTCGGTTGGACCTTTGATTTTGGGGAAGTATTTTTCAGGGTCTCAGGGCGTGCTTTATGCTTAAGAGCCATTAAGTTTACTCCCTTTGTAATCCGTGTCTGAAATTACCTGAGAGAAGAGAACTATGGTCAGTTGCATCTTTAAAAACGTTGATATCCCGGAAAATGAATTTGCTTGAATCTGCATCATTCTTTGATGAAGCGCTTATTCTAGAGATACCTAAGAGTATAACTGCTCTCAGGGCCCGACCTACCGAGAGTAACGTCTGAATGAGTATTTACTTTCGTCTATACGTAAGGGTAAGAAAGTTCGTCCTACACACAGGCGTTTCAATATTTTGTTTAACTGTCCACATGGATTCGTTGTCCTCTCATTTTAGGTGTTTGGGTTTTTTTTTTCTTTTTTTTTTTTTTTAGACAAGTAAAGACTTAATCTCGACTTTAAGGGCGATAAACCAGCCAAAAACTCTGCACTAACTGATCTTTTAGGAGGC